TTAGCAAATCTTAAGAAAAAAAATACATTACGAGTTACGGAATGGCCATCACAGTCACCGGATCTGAATCCTATAGAATTGTTATGGGAAAAACTTGATCGAAAAGTACGTAAATCATGTCCAACTTCAGCTGCTCATTTATGGGAAATTCTATAAGATGAATGGGAGAAAATAGCAACAGAAACACTAGACAAATTTTTAGAGAGAATGCCACGGTTGTGCGAAGCTGTAATCAAAAGCAAAGGTGGATTCTTTGACGAAAAAAAAAGTTTAAATTTGTTTACTTTGTGATATGTTTATTTAGTTGAATAAAGAAGACCAAAGAAGTTATTTTTTGTGTGACAAATAATTGATAGTTATGATTGTTGTAACTGATCATAATTTATAAAATGAAGTTAATGACTTAAAAATGATTAATTATGTCAATAAGTGAATTTTTGTAATATGTTTATTGTTATTGTTAATGTGTTTAATGATAACGTACTTATGTTTTTTGGTTGTATGAAGTTATTTATAATATGAAATTGATGGCTTGAAGTTCGTTATTATTTTAATAAATCTTCGACGTATTTCACTTTATTTGAATAGTTGTATTTATTTTTTAGTTAATACTTATGTTTATTTGCAACTGTATGTATTACCATAGCTTTAACCTCTATTTTGTTTTTTTTTTAATCCGATTATTTTTAACAAAGTTATGCCAATATGAAAATGGATGAAAAAAATTGAAAAGTTTTTTTTTCATTTGTTTATAAAAAATTAATTAAACATTATTTTTTGAAATATTTTCATCATATATTGAAGGACTTGATACAAGCTTCAAAACGTACTTTCAATTTTTTAGATCGGTTGGTTCCGATTTTTGATGGAGTGGTCAAATTTATGTGAGCGGCAGTGTACGTTTAGCACGACGCAAGAGTGTTTTTGAGAAGCAATGAGGGAATCGACGAGGACAAGATTGGTTTTTTCATGGTTCTATAGCAGTACGGATTTGCGTCATTGGATTCTTTAGATGCTCGTAATACATCTATAAATGGAGTTACACATGTTTTCAATGTCTTTCATTCCATATAATATGATTGTGACGTCATTTTAACCGAAGCTGATTTTTGTGAAGCGCTAACAGCGAAAAGCCGCTGATAAACGACTGAAAACATGATTTATACGTGGTTTTCGTCCGTTAGCTGTTCACGAAATTGAATAACGGTAAAACAAATATGGCCATCGTATTGTACGGGAAAAATCATAAAAGAATATATGTAAGGATCGATAAAATCTTTGATAATTAGCTTTAAAGGTATAAATCATGGGAGGCGGGAGGCCATTTTGGCATGCCTGGCGTAGCCGCCATTGTTATTCTTTTGTTTGCCGCAGAGTAGAAAATAGTAGAAAGATCATACAATACATGTTTTTGATGTATTTTTTCCCGTAGAATGTAATGGTGACATTAGTTTTACCAAAGCTGCCGTTGGTAGAGCGCGAAGGGCCAAAAACTACCACAAAACGAAGTTTTTCGCATCCTTGAAGGTGGCGCACTACTGAAACCGACTTCAAACCAATTTAAGGAGATTTCTTAGATAATTTTTAATATCTTCTGAAAAATGTGTGCCTGTACCTTGATATGACTGAATTTGAGAGGAGTTTGAAGTTTAAAATTTTTTTTTTTTAGGTTAGGTTCCAAAAGTCTGTAATCTTGGAAAAAATCATAGTGAAACTATATTTTCCAGAATTGTGAATGCCGGAAACCCGGTGTCGATATCATTTTGAGATCCGAAGAAAAAAAATAAAATGTAAAAATACCCGCTTCTTGTATCTATATTGTAACGGGGTAGATAACCGTCTTTTTAATTATGCGCGCGATTGCATCGAAGAGCGCGCGGGATTACCTAAACGTTCAAATTCTAAAATCGGAGAGTAGGAGGGAACGGGTGTCAGTCAACAAATTAACACGAAATAATATCAGAATTACAGTCAATATCACATGCGAGATCGTTCATTACCTCTTATTTCTGCAATGTTTTCGGCCCACGTGTATATGTTTACAAAGCGCGCGCGCGACAATAACATGCAGTGTCGGATCGCTCGCCGCTCTTTATTTGCCGAGTTAATACATGCACGCTTCTTATGAAATACGAAAGATGAGTTAATAGCAATTCCAGTAATCGCGAAATTAAGCTGGCCAGCTTACCTTATTAGAAGTCGTACGGTGAACGAGAAAGAAAAAAAATTCGCAACCAAATCTCGGGGAAGTCCGCTTCCATGACCACGCGGTTCTCGCTTTCGATTTCGCCGTCGATGGCGAAACCTAACACTCACACACGCTCACACGCGTTCGTCTCCGTCAGGCGAAGACACGGCTTATCTCTGCTCTAATCAGTTCGTCTCGGCACTCTGGAAAACTCGGTGAAAACTCTCTTTTGTCACTAGCAGCAGCTGAGTGTGCGGGTTCTAATCCTCGACTGGTTCATTTTCATACGCGCACGTTCCGTCTTGTCTCGTGCCGAATACCCTCATTACATTTTCCCGAAACGGTAGGTGCTGCCCTCGCAGGCAGCCGCATGATTGGGCTGTTAGCGCTAATAAGACGTTTAGCGTCACAATATATATATATACGAGGTGTGTTCAAAAAGTACCCGGAATTATCGTTTTTCCAAAAAAATATTTATTTATTCATTTACATCAATGTGGTCCCCTTCAAAGTAATCCCCCCCAGATATAATACACTTATGCCAGCGTTTTTTCCAATCTTCGAAGCACTCTTGATATTCACTTTTTGGTATGTCGTTGAGCACTCTCAGCGATTCGACTTTTATTTCTTCAATCGAGGAAAAACGCCGTTCTTTCATGGGTCTCTTCAACTTTGGGAACAGGAAAAAGTCACACGGAGCCATATCTGGTGAATATGGAGGTTGGGGCACGACTACGGTATTGTTTTTGGCCAAAAAATTACGAACAAGTAACGACGAATGAGCAGGTGCGTTATCGTGATGCAAAAGCCATGAATTGTTTTTCCATAAATCGGGGCGTTTTTTCGGATTGCTTCACGCAAACGTCGCATAACTTCAAGGTAATAATCCTTATTAACCGTACGACCTTGTGATAAGAACTCATGATGCACCACGCCCCTGCAGTCAAAGAAAACTGTAAGCAGAACCTTCACATTTGATCGAACTTGACTTGCTTTTTTCTCTCTTGGTGACGTTGAATGCTTCCACGTGGACGATTGTGCTTTGGTTTCGATATCATAACGGTACACCCATGTTTGATCACCAGTTATGACCCTTTCAAGCGAACTTGGATCGTCGTTGACGTCCTTTAACAGCTCCTGAGCGATGTTCATGCGATTGTTTTTTTGGTCAAAGTTCAGCAGTTTTGGAATGAATTTTGCTGCCACCCGTTTCATGCCCAAAACATTTGAAAAAATGTTATGACATGAGCCAATTGATATGCCAACTTCATCAGTAACTTCTCTAATTGTGATTCGGCGATCATTCAGAACCGTTTTTTCCACTTTTTTCACATTTTCATCGATTGTTGACGTGCTGGGTCGACCGGAGCGTTCATCATCTTCAACGTCTTCGCGGCCATCTTGGAAACGCTTACACCACTCGTAAACACTTGTTTTTTTTATAGCAGACTCACCATAGGCTTTTTGTAACATTTCACACACTTTGTTACACTTTATTTCATTTTTTACGCAAAATTTAATACAAATTCTTTGATCCATTTCTTTTAAAAAACGAAAATCGCCGAGCTCATAGAAACACGTCAAAACTTAGCAACTACCGCAGACAAAGTAAACGGTGAATATAGCTGAAAATTTTATCATACTTCAGGGGCATGTATACCAACACAATAAAAAAAAATTTTGACAATCGGACTCTCCAGACCCGCGAAATTTAAAAACTCCGGGTATTTTTTGAACACACCTCGTATATATATATATATAACCGGTTTTATAATTCCTTCGCCGTTATGATCGAGAGAATTATTTGGTGGACTGCTCGGCAAAAATTATCAGTTGAACGCCACAAGGCAAGTGCAATGTCATATGTGTGGCCAAGCCTCATAATTCGCAATTACAATATATTCGTCTTGTGGCTCGCGTAGAGCGTCGTGGATTGGCGTAGTGAAAGGGCGAAATATGTATACACGAACGCAGCGGAACCGCTGGGAAATGGGAAAAGATTCAGACAATTGAGAAAGACGAAACAAATGCAAATAACATCGGCATTATACAAAAGAAAATATTTAGAGGGTACAAGGCATCATGCGTTAGCAACGCAGCAAAAAGAGAGAGCCTAATCACGAGATGGTACTTACATGTTCGTCGGCCATGCCCTTTCTAAATATCGATGCACTAGTATCTACACTACATTGCCTCGCGGGTTGAATAACTGGTTACAGTGGTGGCGGAATATAGGGCTCTTGAATTAGTTCAGACGCACCGTTGGTTTCTTAGCTAAGTCCGTGCAAGGCACTGCCGTACAATAAAGAAAAAGGCTAAAATTGTCCGCGCGAACAGAGACAGGGGTTGTCAGCCTCAAGTCCACCAGCTAATTGCGGTGTCCCTTCTTTCCCTCAGTCTTAGTCGCGCACGTCCTGACCTGTCGAAACGCTTTCAGCGCGACGTATGTTAGGGCATATTGCTCTCTCTCTCTTTTTCTCTAACACGACTATCTGTTGCTCTCTCTCTCACCTTTCGGCTGCGTCGGCTGCTGTTATATATATTAAGTATAATATAGTATAATATAATAGAATAATAGTTATATTAATACATAAGGGGGGAGAGAGAGACATAACGAATGAAACTTAATATATATATACATATTACTGATAACGTATTAATATAAATAAAAACTACAGTTTCTACAATTTAAGTACAGAAAGTGAATGGTTATAAAATAACTAATTTGTATTGCGTTATATCTGTGTATGTATGTTTTAAGAAAAGAAAAAATTGTGTAGTGTAGCAAAAATATTGTTTTTAATATACTTACGTATAGATATCAGTAAAGAAATTTATGTGGTAAATACCATAAACAGGCTTATGATCCGATGTTCGAACATTACGAATAGAATCATATATAATATCAGTCAACATTACTCCACTTTTGATGAGTTTATGATCGAGATTGCACAAAAAATATTGTAATTTATTTTTATGAAGAATCCTATCTGTGTAAGATGGGGTTCGTCTTTTTTGACTTGAATCTAAAACTTGAGTTCCATAGTCAAATTTATAAGTTGGAGGAAATGTAATATCAGTTTCACAAAATCCTTGTAGTATGCTATTAGTATCCAACAATATTTTTAATTGATCATGAGATGAAATTACAGAAATTTCAGTTGGATAATGTGTTTTGCGAATTAGATTCATTACGTTTTCTCTTGGTAAATTAAGACGAAAATTGAAATCTCCAAAATAAAAAATTACATCGAAGTTAATTCTGAGATCTGAAAAAATATATTATTGTGTTACTATATGAATTTTAGAAAATTTTATAAAATATAATTTGCTAAAATTTTAAAAAGAAAACTAGTAAAAATTATTTATATTTTTTATTTATTCGGCTTTAACATCTGAATTACTCCCTCCACGGGTCAATCTACTTTTGTAATATTTGAAGTGTAATTAATTATTTATTAGGATTAGAGATTCAAATTACATGTTAGTATATTGTATCTAGCTGAGTCTTCTCAAAACAGATCATTAACAAGATAAGTTTGCGTTTTCGTTAAAAAAGCTTAGATAGTACATGAGACAGTAAAATTCATTATTTTTTATGATACATTGATAATATGATATATAATTTCATATTATGATATTATCATAATATGAAATTATGATAATAAGTTGAGAAACACCCTAGAAGAAAACAAAAAAACAAAGAAAGCGAAGCAAACGCACATGAAATCAAAACAAATAATAAATACAGGAAACATCGCTAAACCAAAGTCTCATATGCGCATGCTGCAAGCGGATATATAAACAATGTAAAGTGAGGAAATGAAAACATAATACAAGAGTAGAAAAACCAAAACATGTACAGATTCCTTGAATAATTGTAATAAATAACAAGCCAATTGTTTAACCAACTGTTCGGAGTTCCTGACCATAAAAATTTACACAGCTGGCAACAAAATCCAGCTGTCGATTGGAAGTGCGTGTTTCTACTCTGAAAAAATGTAATTTAACGTTTTTTTACAGTGACGCGTACGGAATTACGGTAATGCTATACTAGATCCCGGGACATCTATGAATTGATGGTAATGACTCCTATAGCAAAGGGGTAACAGAACAACTGCCTATTGTCAAAAATATTCCATTTTCGGACTGAAAATGAATGAATAAAACAATAGCTGCAGCAGAAATGCTAAAAATAATTACTGCTCAAAGGCATATCAAGGGGGTTCAATATTTTAAAAACTTTCAAGTAGATTCTGCCAAATTCACTACATGGAAAACCAGTAGAGATTTTATTGTAACGATGTGTAGAAGCCGTAGCAACTATCACAGCCTCAAGTCATCGCTTGTCAAAATCAACAATTAACGATTCTACTTGTGAATGTGCTCATGACATTCAAGACCTTAATCATGTGGTTTGGCAATGTCCAACTTACGATGAGAAAAGAAAAACTATGGTCCATTCCTTAGTGAGAATGAAACTACTTCTCCCCTTCAATATTAAAAGTCTTCTCGATCAGCCAAACAGTAAAATTGTCTATATAATTTATATGTATCTAAAGAGATCTAAAATATTTCTTTAAGATTACAACAACATTGCAAATATTATATAGCGTAATATGTATTTATACATATACATATTGAGATATTAATTTTTTAGAAGAGAGAAATTTTTGCTCTTTCCGAATCGGGATCTAAATTATAGGTTCCTATTCAAAAAATTCTTTTACCTTCAAATGACCTTAAAAATAAATCTCAAGGTCAAATCCGATTTCTGGGAAAGGTGTCCCTCATTGTTCCCAAACAACTTTTGTCTGAACAATTTTTTTGTAGAATGCTAACCATAGAAAATTTCGGGGTGGTTCCTTTAAAATGGGTCACCCTGTACTCGTATATCAGTTTTGTGAATACTTTATCGGTAACTAAATAAACTTTCTTATTTTAATCACAAACTCTATCACTTTGGTAGTAAAAACATGTCTTTTTCAATAATAAAATTAAGTTTATAAATTAATGGTTAAATAGATTAAATAAACACCACGACATTCATTTACTACAAATTCTTAGACTCGTGTTGTCCATATTTCTTTTCTTTTAACTCTTTTCTAGCTACAAAAATTTTGTGCAATATAGCTTTATTTATTTTCATTTTAATTTTGCATCCTTTGCCAAACATTTTGAAGACAGTATCTATAATTACAAAAGGTGTTATAAAGAAAAGGCAAATGTAGTTTTACTAGTACTTAAAGTTATTGTAATACCATAGATGTAATTCTTAGTTTCAGGATCAATTTCTCGCGCTACAACCATAATTGAGTTACAATTGGGAGCATTGCCAGTTACTGAATGAGCCGCTCAATATTGAATGTCAAATACATTGTCAATCAATCCAGATGTATAAGTATGTACATTCGTCTTCGTCAAATTATTCAAAATTCTGTTAAACAATGGCAATGCTTTATGGGAAAAGTTAGAGTGCAAAATAACAAATGAAATAATGTTTTTTTTTTCGTTCAAAAATTGCATTATAATATTTGTCGAATTTTGTGATCTTTCTTAATTTACAAGTAAACAAAGTAAACTTAGAGAGGTGCCGTCACTGACCTTTTTGTAGACAATTTAATAAGAAACAACTTTTATTTGAAACTTTTATTGGTAAAATCAGTAGTTTTCAAACCGCAGAGCGAAATGTGGAAAAAATGACGAAAAAAATTCTCAATAACAAATTTAATTGTTTATTACTAGTTTTCTTAACAAAACTTGTTTATTGTTGCTAAATTATCGTTATACGCACTTATCTAAACCATTCAAGGCTTATAGAAATGTTAATAACATAACAAGCTATATGCTAAGCTTGTAGAAAGAGGAGCGCGGGGAAAAAGTGTACGAAAGAGCTGTAATCGTATCTTTTCCGTTCTCTCTTTCGTTACAAAAAATCTTTCGAATTTCGTGACGGCCGAGAGCGTTACATTTTTACGGAAAGGACCCCCCCCCCCTCCCGCAACCTCACATAAAGAACTTTGTTCCAAAAATCACCAGCATTTTCGATGAAAACGAGATGAATAGTCAATTCAAATACATTCGTTCGATACATAAATGAAAAAGATCCCTCATGTTACGCAAATATGTAACTGAGGCCAAGTTTATGGGTGGCTAGATTATAGTTATGGGGCATTAGAATTTCTTTTTATAAATGGCCATATATATGCTCTAACATATCATATCGATATATAAGTGAATATTCAGGATTATACTTGGAAAAAAAAACCAAGCTGGAAAAAATACCAACAACAATAGAGTAAGAAAGGATTAGACATATTTATGCAATGTAGATCGGTAGTCGGGGCAGGATAGAGACCAAAAGTACTATGGATCTATAGTAGAGCCATACTGGTACTGAAGCTGGTCTACGCAGCATAGTATGGTGAAAGATCACAGAAAAGATAACTGTAAGCCAAGTCGTGGACTACAAACAGGCCGTTACCATGAGAAAGATCTTCGAATTGAAGGGTTGCACATCCATGACCGCTGTTAGAATAATGATGGATAAGACAGATAATGTGCGTCAAGGACTGAAGAAAGTACAAAGATAGGCACGCACCCATTTGCAAAATTCTGAGGAAAAGTAACATTTCAAGTGTACAGTACGGCAGAATAGAGAAAATTAGCAAATTTGGGAAACGTTTTAAAACGGATATATATCTAAAAGGGAAAAATGGAAAAAGAACGAAACCCTGGAACATGGAGACATGTGGTTGACAGATGGATCCAAATCTGACAAAGGCACAGGATTTGGCGTACGTAGACGTAGGTAAGGATAAGATGTAGTCTATGGCCTGAGAGAATACAACACTATCTTTTAAGCGGAAATGACCGCTATAAAGATGTGTTCTTTGATCCTGGTACAATAAACAACGGAAAACAGAGTTATTAAAATCTGCACTGCAGGTAAGCCTCAATAAAGATACTTGAGAATCCGGTCAGGTCAGCACTGGTCAACGAGACGAAAAAAGTACTGAATGATCTGACCATAAGGAACTCAATTAAAATCACGCGTGTACTTAGACACTCGGTGTACAAAGAACATAAAATTTAACGTCATTAATCAAACATCATGACTTCAAATTTTTTTTTTCCATATGAAATACACAGAAAAAATTCAATAAAAATTCAGATAAAAAGTCAGTGAAAATTGAGCTATTTGGGGCGTAATGGGTTAAATCGGTAATCAATTCTATGAGAAAAATTATGAAGAAACTAATATAAAACTCTTTGTAATTTTGTGTCGTAACATAGTCTGAGTCATTGGGAATTTTTTATCTAAGTATGAATCAATAACATAGAAAAAATTTTCCAGTTCACGATTGATAATCATCACATTCTAATTTGTTATCTCTAATAATCATTTGGTTATTTGTAATGATGATCATATCTATACAGAACCTAATCCATAAAGTCGACTGCCGATATTTAGTTTTTTGAAATAGAGAAATTTTTGATAATTTTTTTTTTTTTTTTTTATTTTTTTTTTTTTTATTTAACGTCGCTCTATTTATGCTTCATCAGTGCTAATCAGCAACGGAGGTTTTTTCAGTGGTGCTTGTATCAATCAGCAGGAACTGGGAATCGAACCCGGGCCTACCGGGTTTTTTTTTTTTTTTTTTTTTTTGTTTTTGATAATTTATTTAAATAACTTTTTATAAACAATTGCAAATATGAAAAGAAAAAAAGGGTAATTTTTTTTTCAGCTATGACATTGATGCAATAGTTAGTTTGAGGCTATCTCAGCTAATTTCGGCTTGGGTTCATATAATTAACATTTTCTTACAAATGATTAATAATGATTCAATTATTAAAAACACTTTATGTAGTTGAAAAAAAAATTGAATGCAATTCCAAATAGACATTCATATATTTATAAGTTTATTGATATTTCAAGTTTTGTTTAATTATATTTAATAATTTCTTTGACCAAAATCAATTAGTATTTTTATAAAAATATTGTATAGGCATCAAAATCAAATTGCAAATCAATTTTTTAATGTTTAAGTTTTCACTGATCTTTGAATTCTTAAATTATTTTGATCTTTTATTTGTACTAAAACTTCTTAATCAGATTCTTTCTTGCTTTGATTATTATTAAACTTTTGAGAGAACTTTAACTGAATTGAACTTGGAACTTTGAAAATTTGAATGTTTATTTTTCACAGATAACAAGTAGCGATACAATTTTATAGTTTTTTTCTTCATAGATTTTTATATATTTGAA